GCCACCGTCAAAATTCCCCAAGTCACTTCCACTTGATCACAACACTTACTGGGAAACGGATGTAGCTGGCAAGGACATCGCAAATCCTCCTTTATGCAGATATAGAAGTTAGGTGGTCCACATGTATTAACAGAGATCATAATGGGGATGGCTTGCTGTGGATAGAAGGGAAAGTGCAGCTGCCACAATTAGGGGATCTGCATCCAACCTTGTAGACACAACCACGAGAAGACCTGCCCAGATTCCTGCAATTGCCACGTCATGGGTGTCCAATTCAAATTCAGCAATCGTCGAGTCAATATGCTCTGTCTCGACTGTTGTATTTGCCACAAGTGGTGGGTCTAATTAGGCTTACGTTATCATCACACCAGCTACATCTCTCTCCACGCTTGCCATCACCTCGTCAGTTGGTTCTGCTTCTATTCCCGTAATCATCACCAGCACATCTGCTCCGACTGTTTCTACTCTGCAGCTCTGTTCACTTCCATAGTGGTAGTCTTTGAATAATGTTTATTGTGGTTGTATTATGAAGTGGTGCTAAAGTAAAAGTGAAGGTATCGATGTAGTCAGTGTTTGCAAAAGAGATGGCAGAAGTAATTGTTTCCGTTAGTTACGGAAAATAGAGACGGTATCAGAAAAAGCCAATTGCTCAATATGCAAGCAACAATAGCGGATATGTTTAGAGTTAGTTAACAACTGCAGAATCAATGTCGATAAACGTTTTCATTTGCTGAGTATGGTCATAGAGACTGATTGAATTGGGAAGGTGTGTTGGCTGATTTCATCGCTGCAATGGGGATACCGAAACTGAATGCCTCTGCTGTTTCTTGAAATAGCTTGTCCATAAATGATGTACCAATCGACAGGCACAGAAGAAAGTTAAGAACAATCAAGTGCAGCATTTGGTAAATGAGCCCAGGTGGGCATTTCGCAAACTTGTGTCTCTTTATTGAGCGCTCTCCCTATATTGGCAAAAGTTATACCTTGTGGCAATATACTGCAGTTTCGAGCCCCTTGTGCGCAATCACAGTCGGCATACCACCCTAACAGTCCTCTTATACGTCAGATTGATTTGCCCAAATCTCCTCAGAGGAGTGAAGCTATTTAAGGTATAATGGAATTTAGGTGAAATGACAAAATTTGCAATAGTCATTCAGGAGTTACTCATTGTGGCTAGGAAATTGGTAGATAAGTATGGACGTGAATAAAAAAAGCAGGTAAAGTGGTTAGCAATTTAAAGAGACTTACGAGGAATTTCATCCAAAGACCAATGCCATGGAAGTTAACATGGCTGGATTCAAAGCGAACATCCTTGTCGCGGCAATTACAAGTGTCTGCGTGGATCTGCTCGTCGTTGAAATTACAGAGGTCGATGCAGATCCCCTAGTCGTGACAGTTGCACCTTCACCTTCTATCCAAAACAAGACATTGCCTTTATGATCTCTGGTAATGCATTTACACCACCTAACTGCTAAGTGTGCATTATGGAGCATTTGCGACATCCTTACCGACTACACCTGTTTCATTATGATCAGTCGATTTTGTGGAGGTGATGGGGTGGTGAAGTAGTGCCTAAAGGGCGCGGTTCTATGCTTATTTCATAGTATTCCAGTCAATTTCGATTCATAGCAGTGTTGGATAAAATAAGTAGAGGGAGGACTAAACTCCTTCCTACTGTGGTGCAGCCGGTGTCGCGTGTTCACTGGAGAATATCAAATACTCAAATTGGATCGGAGAATTCGGGTGATTGCGTGCAGTCACAGAGGTAGAAACACTTTGTCCTGCCTCCAATTGGGTGATGGCATTGAAGAGAATTGGGGAGGGAAGGGAACATTCCTGTCACCAGTCATATTTAATGCATCGGTTGAGCTGGCTAGTAACGCAACCGTAAGATTCAGCCAGCCGATCCCTTACCTAGGCACAGTTTGTGGACCAATGCTATCCACAGTCACATTTCGGAGAACACCCGACCCTCTCAGCACAAAAATGAGTATACATATATCATTATTGCTGGAGTTGTGATAAAATCTTTTATGTCGCCAAGTGAATGAGGATTGATGCGTAAATGTCTAGCACGAAGGTGAATGGACGAGAAGCAGCCACAGCTTGCATAAAGGCAGACCAGCTATAGTGGGAAGGTAAACAGACCTGGATTTATCTCTTTCAATTCCTCTGCTTCTGTCTAACTGCATAGGCAGCATTGTTAGTGATATTTGCACTCTCCAGCAGTCGACCTGGCCACTAAATGCCAGGTTGTTTGTGCGTCTATATCTGCTGTCTTTATCATGATTTCGAAACCATTGAAACTCCATCTGCGCCATCAGAATTGTGTATTGACAAGACTATTTCGCATAAATCATCATATCAAGTTGACTCCAATATTATGCAGTGTGATTAGACACGAGAGAAAGCAGTTAAGCCACCGCTCCCAATTTCCAGCTAAGTAAATCCTAGGAAGCATTTTGCTCTTCCTGCCAAATTCACCTATTAAACAAAAACATTTATTTACCTAAGTGGTTATACACATGTGCTGACAAGAGTAGAGCATTAGGAAGCAGGTAACTTATCGAGTGCCACTGCCAATTCTCCACGAATAATGGACGATGCCAACAAGAGGAGGCAGAGTTGGAGAGATATCTCGGGTACAGAAGCAAGTTATATTTACGATCAACGTACGTTGTACTTATACAAATGTTGTGGACTCATGATAGCCTATGAAGTGGTCTGTTCTTGACCTACAATGCAAATTGCGCATTCATGCATGCTCTGAATGCACCTAATATCAGGTGATGCGGCAACTTTTGAGGGAACAATAGTAGAGACCTCTGCAATTACATAACGGTGACCTTCTTCAATATTAGGGATGCTTTTGTGGTGTTATTCGCAGTGCATTCTAGTAGCGATGCTCATGCTCAGTCAGTGCCTCCTCTTTAGGTGGTGGCTGTGGTAGCCGTAATTGAAGTGTGCTAATTGCCCCCTAAGACATACTTCCGTCTAGAGGTAGGAGCGGGACCTAAAAGCACTCTCCGTTTATTCATACCATCCACTTTAGGAACAATAAGCGCACACCAGTACCTTAGAACATTGATCCATCTGCCGTGAAGCCTTTACCCATCCACCGTCTTGTTGGCAGTTCGATCGGATCGAGACCAGCTTATATTACTTGCTATACTTGGCAGCATAGGATATGATATGTCCATTTTTTTCAAGATGCCCAGAAACTAGTTTTTATATCATGCTACCTTGTTTCTCGAAAGTCATTAAAACCTAAAGCAGACTTGTGTGCACGACCACAGGGAACAACTGGCTGTGAGCCGTGGTTTGCATGCCTCTTATTGGCAGACACTGCTTGTAAATGTTCTCTTGAATATCTAGTGTAATCCAAACACACTTTACCTGAATTTGCTATGAATTGAATTGCTAATCATCATATCATTCAGTGGTTGTATGCTTGAATGAATGGACTCATCGATCAACGTGTGTGGCTCAATGCACATACGCGGCGTAGATGTATACATTCAGCAGCTGGATACTAGAATCCGCATGGGTATGCCTCGGAGAATAAGCTTGTTCTTGATTCTGGGCCTGAGCAGAGTGTGATCGAGTCACTCCATCGGTTGAGTCGCAGGTACATATTAGTGAGTATTCAATCCTCTGTCAGTAATGACTACTGATGCACTTAAATTGATACCGACGCTAACGCAACCAATGAATGACTGAGGTAAGGACTGTACAAGCAACAGACAATAATCACGAAAAGGGAGGGTGTTGGATTCCTGCACACCCCGAAATTCGGTGGTTGTCCGCGCATGTCTACTGCTGCGGAGTGAGATTAGTTTGACTTCCGACAAACCTGGCAGCTCAACGTAGATCAACATCTAATTCACGGGCGACCACCTTGAGGTAGTACACAAATAATCTCAATTATTTGACTACCTGCGTCTGTAATATTCAATATGTCTGCTTTATTATGGTATCAAATAACTGTCGTTCCTATTTAGTCACAACGCAGAGGCTGCTACAACGCCAGTGAAATTGCTACGGTGCAGTTGCAAGAGGGAGAAGTTTATCCACAAATTAAAAAACAGGCAAAATTGAACTGCAGCAGTGGAACTTTCATGGATTCCAAAACTATCATTGGCAAACGGCTACCACAGTCCTATTGTTTTTTTCATTGTCAATGTAATTTAAACGGACGCTTTTGCATTTTCCACGTGCATTTTACATGCGTCATGCACAATAATTGAAGAATCCACTCACCGTACAGCGGATTAGGTCAAGAGTGTCACAAGCCACTCTCATTCATTGGACCGTGAATGAAAAAAATTGACTGGGGTGACTGCAGCAAATGCGTGATGGCTCTCTGCCATCCTCTTCTCAACAGTCATCACCTGTCGTGGTTATCGCAGTGCAAACGCAGCAGCTAGCAAGCGCGTTGCAACAGCTCCCTTGCGACGGATGGACATGGCAAATATAACTAAGGCTTTAGCACAAAAGAAATCTATTCAGAATTTCGCACTCGTGCGCCAAGGTATGTAATAAATATTGGTGACGACGGGACCCATCCTTAATATTCCTGTTCACATTCCCATTAATGCCCATACGATAGTGGATTCAAGCTGCCGCAATTGGCAGTATCGCTTTCTATACTTTTCTTTTTTGTCTTTTAATATTTTCTTTTTACTTCTTTTTTAGTGCGGTGAATGCACTAACAGACGTTGCCGATAATTCTGGGGCGCTGGAGCTGTAGATGTTGCACTGTACTGTTAAAGATAACGGTGTGGATGTTAATTTTTGCCGTGTAGTTGAGGTAATGCCTCCTAAGATAACAACGCACATTCGGGCAATTGGTCAAAAAATCAAGAATTTGCGTTGTATTGGACGCTGTGAATTTAGAACCAAGTAAGCGATTAGAACCAAACAGACATAGAGTGAGTGGGTCTTAAGTGGGTAGTCGAACAAGTGATATATTCAAACATGAATTGTCTACAAGAGAAACTTCATTTTAGAATTATGGATGCAGAAACACCACCAATACCGCCACCATCATCACCATCGTCAGAGTCAATAGCAAGACCAACTCCATTATAATCATCATCGAGGGCAACGAGATGGAAAGAGTGGACTGAAAGCCAGAAGACCAGACGTCTCGCCATGCAGTAAAAACCAATGAACAATGTGCATTGGAAGTGGGACAACCTCCTAGACCCCAGTGATGACTTGGTAATAGAGCACGGAATTTTTTATTTGGTAAATGCTTTACTTCTATTAAAGTGGTTGCAAGAGCAGGAACACCTTCATGAGGTAAATGCCAAGATGGTGATGGCAGATGGAATCAGGAAGGGAAATTTGACAGTCTCCACACACACTTGATGTGGACTTAAAGCGAATGAATTTACTGACAGTTGAGAATAGGAGAAAAAATTGCAGTCTTTGCCTACTCCGTCAGAGCAAATGAAGGAAGTAGCACTACCAACTTGCTTCTCAGAAAGCGTGTGAGTAGCATTGGCGCTTCTGCCACTGACTAGCCACTTCGTATAAATCATTCGTAGCTGTCCGATATTCACTCCATCCTCCCACGACATCAGTGAAACGGCGGTGGACACATATGTGTCATGACACTATTTGAGCTTATACCTTGAGCCCGTGCAAGAATGACCTTTGTTGCCTTGGACTAACATCTCTGATAGCCCATGATGGCTGAAGAGCTGAAGCAACGATCGCGACCCTCTGCGTCCGCTGGTTAACCAACAGAGATTTCGAGGAACTATCCGATGCTTCAAACGTGCTTCATTTTCTACGTGTTGCATATTTATATTTATTGGCGTTACAGAACAGCAATCGTTACGATTCTAAAGCCCTAGTTGGGCATGGCAAAGTAGATCGGTGACAGCAGTGCCGCAGTTGGCCAGGCTATTGCTTCATTACTCTAGTGGGATAGAAGAATTTGCCACACGAACGCGATTACGTGTAGAGGTGAGCTAAAATTCTGAGTAGTCTCTAGTACCTTCAGATGGGGCTGAGCTAGACCGACACGTTCTAGAATGCTGGACAATCAGTCAGGGTGATTGACACGTCAAATGGATAGAAGCAGAAGTATGCATTGGGTTGCAGGCATTCTCTGCTCAGACAGCTCACATAACAACTTTTTAACCCACGGCGTGACGCTTTATGTCGGCTTTCTTAACCGTTCGCCCACTGACCTCCATGTTTTCACAGTAGTCTTTAATACGCTACGCCTTCTTCTACCTACTTCGTTTGCCATCCAAGCCCATGCCATGTCAGATTTTTGGGTGTACTCCTGACTTAGGTTCTGCAAATGCACCTAATTAGCTTCTTTTATCCAGTGGTGCTTACAACGTACTCCTCGAACGGAGCGTAGAAACAGAACCATTTACTAGGTTTCCAGTCTTCTTTGAAAAACGTTCCCAATGCGGCCATGCACGGCCAAAAGTATGATTCTAAGAATGCTCTGTACGATGCTCTTAAGACTAATATATCCACGCCCATGTGGCAGCCGATGACGCACGAGTTCAAGTTGGTCATTGGAAATGTACATCTAATGGCCCATGTGTTTTCACAGTAGTCGGCATTATCCACCGTCTTCTTTTGACACCTTACTTTAGCTTTTGATTTCAGACTTGGTCCATGATTTAGACACTGACTTAAGCTCAACATTTTCACCCATATAGCATGAAGTAGAATCGCTAGATGGGCATTTTAGCAGTGCATGTGTAATGTTTTGTTGTTGATTGTCAGCGTACCTATCAAACACAGCATTTGGTACCTCTAATTGCCTTGAGTGCCATCTTACTTCGTGTTGGGATTCACGTAGAGGGGAAAAGCCCATTTGTCTAAATCCGCGTGTGTGTGGTACTAATGATATTTATATTATTTAATTTTGCAGTTCTTTTTTGTCGCCTTCACTCATCGGGTGCTTAAAATTAGTGCTGCTAGAATGGGGCCCAACAGTGAAAACCTTTGAGAAAGTAAAGGTCCAATGTGGTTTGACTTTAGTCGATGGTGTATGAAAAGGAATCAGCTCGTGCACACTTCGTGCATCGTGACAAATTAACGAGAGAAATACTTTTGGAATCGCTGGTAGTGGCAGTCGAAGTTAATGAGGGGTGGTGAATCAAATAGCCCGACTTGTCTTCTGGTTATTTAACTTTACGGATAGTTTCAGGCTCCGTGATCCGCCTACTACGGTTATGCCATTAAGTACCACAATGGCCAACCGTGGTATTTTGTCGTAGTCCCACTTTGTATTGGTTACAAGTCTATTGCCATAGCATCGTGTCAAATGTATACCTATGAACTGCCATCTTGTAATGCCAACGATGTGTATGCAGCTATATATATATATGTGTGTGCAATATTAACAAAATAAAAAAGTGTTTGGAATATATCTACTGTCCCAATAACAGACACCGAGGCGGTAGAATGCTAATTCGACTCCTCAGCTATCTCACTCTGCCAAAGATGTTGGTCAGAGGCAGCACAACACAATTCATTTTGTGCTTACTTCGTAACATTTGGTGCCGAAATGCCATTACACTTGTTTGCTCTCCATCGATTCACTCTCATTCCAGCTCACAAGCACAGACGTTTAATCTATTACTACTGAGGGTACGTGGGGATGGGGCAATCGTCAATAGCTCATCAACGTGTCTACTTGCATTTGGGACTATTCTGAGCAATTTGTACAAAATGGTCTGTCAGCGGCAGAAGTGCCACTGCTACTCACTCTTTCCACAAAGCAAGTTAGTGGTGCTAACCCCTTCATTTGCTCTGATGCACTACACCAAAACTAACGTTGTTGACACTTGCCTTACCATCAAAATGGTATTCCCATCTACACCTTCTACGCATGCATTATTGGCCCTAGACCATCGCATTATCCCGCCACGGTTATGCAGTCCATGTAACTACCATCATGCATTGCTGAAACTACTACTCACAGCAAAGAAGTAACGTGTGAATGACATCACGTCATGCTGCACATGGGGCTAGTAAAGCAAAACAAACATGTTGAGCATCATGAAAGGATTTCCACAACTAGAATTCATTTTGCTGTCACGCATTTAACTCCTAAATTAGCAGAAATGTAGACTCATTCTCATCCTAACTATATTTTATGGCTCCTGTCAATTTGTTTATACCCAGGCCACTAGCAGTGGCAAGGGAAGACATACCAATAGACTGTACCTCTCTCAATGCCACCTATCCATCCGAAATTTAAATCACTGCAGTATGACAGGCCAGGCTTTCGACTCTGGCATTTATGCTTCATTTTTCCCTCCATTAGCCTACATTCCAGTCAATTTCTTCCTTGCCACTCAAAGTTGATTGCATAAAAGACGAATGAATGAGGCTGCTCTATTTGCTGTTTCTGATATCATGGGAGCCACATCTAAGCAATGTCCTCACCTTGATATTCTTTGGAATTGCTTTTTGCCAAAAGCAAAATTGGCCAGGTAGCACTTCAACTCAGAATAGCAATTAAGGGTGTTAAAGTAGTGCCCCAAAGCATCGTATCACCTCCACTAAATTCTGATCACTTTGTCCCATGTAGAGAAACTAAATGCAAAATATTTATATAAAAAGTGGAGATGGTAATCAACAACAAAATTACTAGGCTTTTATTAAAGGAAACTAATAGCAAAGAAAGAGCAGGAGAACTCAAGAGAAGTGCACATTAGACAAGTGGAAGTCAAGTTACAGCTTCATTGCTCACGCCTGGAGATGAGTTATTTGCAATTAAAGCGTTCTAATACTCACTCCAGTCCTAACATTTTTCACTCGCCATATACTTTCACAACGTGCACACAGTCTTATTAAAGCCAGAACAAAACTTTTCTTGCCGAAATCACAAAAGTTGTACGGTGGAGGAGATCTCAATATTTTATAAGTGTTCCAAGTCTACATATCTGGGGAGATAGTAATGGCAGAACTGAAATACCATTGCATTTCACCAATGCGTGTCTACCTGCTCGATGTCGTTGCCATGAAATAGTGGGATACTGACTACCTCTTCACAGCGATGGGCTTCCATTGCTGAATGGCATCCTAGGCCCTAATGAGGTGCACGAAAACGGGCAAAATTTGGCTTCACAATTGCCGTTGTAAGGGAGGATACAATGATCTTTGGCATCTTAGGCACCCACTTTGCTAGTCATTTCAAATTACATGAGCGACTCTTACACTCGACGAAAATTCTTACCTCCTAATAATCGTTTCTTCCTTTAAAATCCACACAAAAGCTTGTAGCAACTGAATGAGTTAATTAGGGAGTGATGTGCTAAGAACCGAAACGAATGGTGCAGTGATACATTAGGCTCCTGTCTGCATCAAGTGAGTGAGTGAGTGAGTGAGGGGAGTTGCATGATTTCGACAAGTATTTACTGCCCAGATGCCAGTGTTTAACAGAAGGCAAACAAAAGACTGCAAAAGATACCAGCTTATTCTCCACCACTTTAACAAATGATATAAAGTGCGTTGCTTCTAAGTCATTTGCTTCCAGAAAAATTCTTAGCGGAAGTCTTTTGCATATCAGTGTTCGTCAAACGAACGACCAAATCGTTCGCTCTGCCTAACTGTTGATCCCTACATCGCCCAGACTACCGCACGCCTCTTAGACACAGGGCACTCTCTCTGTCGAAGATCGTGTATGTTACTTTGCCTAAGTGTCTGGTGGCCACAGATTCGTTGGCACTGAGAGCTCTCCAAGAGTCACAGAGCAGAGGACCACTCGTGTGAAAAAGTGCTAGACGCCTTAACTGAAAGGACCTGGTGGCCTGGAATCATCCTGGTCGGATGTGATGTTAGCCGCACTTGAGTTACACGCAGCAGCTTCAAAAAGCCGCAACTAAGCCATACACTGCTCTGCTATTTATTTGAATTCCTCTCCTGCATTCATCTTACCTCCAACGCGCAACTACAACCCATTTAGTCGCTCCATGACTTAAGAAGTTGATTACTTGGCTTTACTCAATCAAAGGTTCAGCAAAACCTTTCCGTCTCTGTTCGTGCACCCAACCACCCGGATTCTTCGATGCAGTTTGACTGCATAGGTTCCCGCAGCGGAATTGTGACACTAAATACACTACAGTATGATGAAGGCTGCTTCTCTCCGAGTTCTATCAAGGACTATCCTGTGAATCAGAATTGACTAGAATACTTAAAATAAGCCTAGATATGCACATTTGTTACGCCACCGTCAAAATTCCCCAAGTCACTTCCACTTGATCACAACACTTACTGGGAAACGGATGTAGCTGGCAAGGACATCGCAAATCCTCCTTTATGCAGATATAGAAGTTAGGTGGTCCACATGTATTAACAGAGATCATAATGGGGATGGCTTGCTGTGGATAGAAGGGAAAGTGCAGCTGCCACAATTAGGGGATCTGCATCCAACCTTGTAGACACAACCACGAGAAGACCTGCCCAGATTCCTGCAATTGCCACGTCATGGGTGTCCAATTCAAATTCAGCAATCGTCGAGTCAATATGCTCTGTCTCGACTGTTGTATTTGCCACAAGTGGTGGGTCTAATTAGGCTTACGTTATCATCACACCAGCT